TTTGTTTGTTTCGTTCTTTATAAAGATCATCATCATCATTATTATTATGATAATCGGCTAAATACCATATTTCACTGATGAAACAAAAAAAAAACAAAACAAAACGGGAAAGAAGATATTTATATATTCATCAATACCGGAGGCTGTTAGAAAATAAACGGAGTTTGTTTGTTTGTTTGTTTGTCTAGTTAGTTTGGGTTAGTTAGTACAAAACAAGACCAATGAACAAAACAAGACCAAATTGAAACGAATAAAGTTTTCATGATCACAAAATGAATTAGTAGTTTAGCAATTTTTTTTTATTTGAAATTATCCCAAAAAAAAACAAAGATCCTTTATTTTTTTAAGAAGAAGAGAAAATCTTTCGATTTATTCCAATTTTTTGTTTTTGTGTGTCACATCATTATTATTCTACGGATGTCTACGCAAACAAATTTAAACATATTTGAACAGTGAAAAAAAATTCAATTTTTCAATTTATACTGCAAAAAAAAAATTTACTAAATAAACACAATTTTACAATGTATGTCTATGAATTTTTGTTTTGTTTGTCAAAGATGATGATGATGATGATGACAAAACAAGATTTGACCAACTAGAAACATCATGATTCTTTAGAATTGGTTATTTGGTTAGTGTGAAAATAAAATTCGGTCAACTGACCAACATCATTATTATTATTGATTCATTTTATTAACAGGAAAAAAATGAAAATTATGAAGAAAAAAAATCCTGATCCGCATCCACTTATGTTGTTGGTTTTTTTTCGGAGGGAGATGTGATTGTTAAATTTAGTGCACGTTTTTACCTCAGTTGTTATTTGTGTGTTTGTGTGTTGTTCAGAAAAAAAGCTAATGTTTAGTGAGTCGTGTGACCTTAAAAAACGGAACAACAACAACAAAAAAAAAATGGTAGTAAATAAGTAGTAAATAGTTTTGGGTAGTAAGTAGGAAAAATAAAAATATAACGTTGTAAATAACATTAACATTGATATTCAAATTTAGAATTTTTTGTTTCCATTCAACGATATACCAACCAATGTTGTCATAATTTAGTATCATTTGATTATCAAAATATTAAAATGAAATTATAAAATGGTAATGAAATCAAACATGGTCATGAAAAAAAAATCACGAATTTTTTTCCATTCACAATAAGCAAATATGAATATAAAAAAAATAGATAACGAAATAAAAATTTAAATCAATCAATCAATCAATCAATTGATCGATCAATTCAAAAACCCATTAGACTATATATCCGAGTGACCTAATCATTTTGCTAATAGTAATCTAATAAAGCAACAACAAAAAAAAATGAGTGACATAAATAAATGATAATTTCATTATCATCATAATCAACATTGACAGTGTATATATGTCATTATCATAATCATCATCATCATCATCGTTATTAAATACAGAAAAAAATAATAATGATGATTATCCATTCGTGAATATAATAATGATGATAATGATGATCTCAATCATCATCTAGAATCATATTTATTTAATAAAAAGTCTTAGTCTGTATTAGGAAGGAAAAACTTACATAACCTGGAGAATTTTTTTTTTATTTTTCTTTCATTTATACGTTTCATCGTTTTCACGGTTACTGGTTATCAGTCAGTCAGTCAGCTATTATTCTGATAAACCAGAAAAGTATTTTTTTTTCTTCTTTTTCTCCGATTGATAATGAAAAAAAATAACCATTTGAAATTACAAACAAAAATGTTTTTGTTATTGTTGTTGTTTTGGTTATTATCATTATTGTCAATTGACAATTGTATGGCACAAAATTTTGTTTTTGTTCTATTAATATAAATCAAATTTATTATTAACCAATCGATTGATTCGATCGATTGATAGAACAATCGATTGATTGATCTTTCCGTCATCACGTTGAATATCACGATTCTGTCATCAATTGAAACAAACAAAGAACAACAGAGGAACAAAAAAAAATCTCTATCCATTTTTGTTTCATTCATAAATTGTGTTCTGATTTTTTTTCTTATTTCTTTTTTAAATCAAAAAAAAAAGTCACAATTATTTCAAGTTTCTTCCTTTCCACATTTCATCATCATTAATAAAAAAAAATATTATATTTAATAACAGAATAAACAAAAGATTTATGTCAAACAATTTGATGACACAGATGATGATGATGATAAAGGATTTTTATATTTTATTGCTTTGTTTTGAACAAACAAAACAAAAAATTTCAATCAAAACCTTATCTTGAAATAAAATCGATAGAAATGTCATTATCGATCGATATCATCTGACCGGTACGGATTTGAGAATTTTTAATAAATAAAACAAAAACAAAATCTTACCATTAACCAATATTTTTTTCTTTCTTTCTCTCATTGAATTTATGTCGAATTTCAATTCATTTTCTTTCTCTCTCTTTCTTATTTTTCGCTCTCCATTTTGACTTTATTCAGATCTAAACTGGAATCTGATTTTCATTCTCTCAATCCATCCATCCATCCATCAATCCATAAGAAATAACAACAAAAAAAAGACACCTTGAGTAGGTATGGATAACCGAAAAAAAAATATATATGGAAACTTATTGACAAACAAACACAGTAGTTCACTGCTGTAAATGAAACAATAATAATAATAATAATAATAAATACCTAAAGTTATTTTAACCAAACCATTTTCATTTTCTCTACTCGAATTACTGCATTACATTTCATTTCATTTCTCATTGGTTTTTTTCCCAGGTTTAGGTTTTTTTTCTTCATTTATTCATTCATTCATCTCGTAAAAAATTTTCATTTTTTTTTCATTTCTCATTTCCAACTATCGATGATGTTGAGGATTTTTTTTCACTATCCGACTGACTGACTGACTGACTGAGTGATGAAAAGTCACACACAAACACAATCGACAATCATTTTGAAAATGGATTTTCTTTTCTTTCAAAAAAAAAGTGATTCCAAAGTGATTTTTTTTCCAAAAGTTTATGTTTGATGCGCTCCAGATTTGAATTTTTTTTTTGTTTTGAAAAAAAACAATCATTAAACAACTGTGCAATTTGAATAATAAAAAAAAACACATCCACCTACACACTCGTAAACATCACCAAACCAAAAAACCAAATGAAAAAAATCATTATCATTGTTTTAAACAAAAAAAAAAATTCATCGATTATTTCTTTGCACCATAATCAAATCATCATAATCATTATGAAAATGAAAAAATTTCAAGACAATCAACCTAGTAACAGATAAACAAAAACAAAAAAACAATAATAACCAATACCTACGCTATTAAAGCATGAATGAATGAATGAATGCTATTAAAGCATCCAAAATAATACCAAAAAAGCAAAACAATTTCATCTTCTCTAAAGACAAAGTGAAAAGAAATACAATGGACCAAAAATAACAAAATAGTTTTTATTTTTTATTTTTTCAAATAAATTTTGTTTTCCAAACACATTCCATTTTTTATGATGCTTATGTAATGTCAATTTTGTTTCTTCAGGTGATTTTTGTTTTTTTTTCATATTTATCATTGAAAAAAATTTGTTTAATTGTTGTTTTCTGTTGTAAAACAAAAATGACACATTCATCATAATTATCATTATCTTTTTTTTTTGGTGATTCAAAATAAAAAAGATGGATTGATCATAATCGAAATTTTATCCTGAATTCAATTGAACTTTGTTCGTTTGTTTGTTTAAAATTGAAAATTTAGAAAATTTATGCAAATTCATCATCATCATCATCGCCAAAAGACAATGATGAATTCTTCATTTAATGAATAAATGATAATGATGATTATGCTGTTTTACTACTGTGTTACTGTAATAAACATTGATTCTTAAATAATAACAACAACAACAAATTATTATCCAAAAAACAACAACGTCACGCGATACATTTGAATCCATAATCATATTTTTTTTCTTGTTTGTTTGAAACAAAACAAAACAAATCAAATTGAATCCATCATTGTGTCATGTTATTTGGATTTTTTAAAAAAAATTCAATTTGTTTGAAAAAGAGACACATAGATCTTGATCTTGTGTATGTTGCATTACCGTTTTCATTTGTCATTCAACAATTCCAAAATATTCAGCTTGTTGTTGTTGTTTCATTGATTTTTAATCATTGTTTTTTGTTTCGCAAACTTTTTTTTTGAAATCACAAACAATTATGACAAGTTTTTGTTAATCCGTAAATGCAAATAACAATAATAATAATGATAATGATTATGATGATGATGAAAAACAAAGTCAAGTTATCTGGAATATTTTAATGAACGAAAATCGCCCAACAAAAAAAGAAAGAAAAACAACAACGAATCTATTTTGATCCAAATGAAACATTAGTTTCAAAGTTTTTTTTTCTTTGAAAAAAAACAAACAAACAAACCCAAAAATATCATCATAATCATCGGCAATACAACATCTAAAATAAAAAAAAATAAAGCCGGGTGAATTGTGAATCAATCCAGTTGGATACAATCTGCTTTTTTTGTTGTTGTTGTTGTGTTGTTTTCGGTTGTGATTTTTTTTTTGGCTTGAAATAGAAACGTTTTTTTTTATCTACTTTCGCATTTTACCTTATTTTATTTCACAAATCAATCAATTTCCGATCAATTTTTAAATCTACTGAAAAAAACGAAAACGAAAACGAAAACTCTATCATTATTCATTGTGTAAACAGAAGCAGAAAACGAAAAAAAAACATTTTCAAATTGAAAATCATTAAAATTCAATTTGATTTTCGATTTTTTTTAAACCAAAAAAGAAAAAAAAAACCCAATTCATATTGTCCTTTTTTTTCCTTTTCCAAATGTCTTTACATTGATCAACAAAAAATGGCTTCAATATTCATAATATTTTTCATAATTTTATCAAATCAATTTATCAATCCGATATGTTCGGAAAATGATGATCGATTATTATTATTGAATCATAGATTATTACCAATTCGATCATCATCATTTGAAACATCATTAATTTCCGAAGATAATAATCAAACATCGACGACGACGACGACTACGACAACAAATAAACCTGATGATTTAACAGCCGATGATGAAAAATTATGTTTATTTGATAATAATGAACATTATGTATCATCATCATCGAATGGTTCAATGATTGCATTGAATTGTCGTATGAAAATATTTAAGAAAATTTCATCATCATCATCACCACAATCATTGATTAATAATCAAGAAATTTTAGCCAATTTTCTTCAAAATAATCATCATCATCATCGTCAGGATCATCATAGTCGTTTTACATCATCAATCAGTAACAGTAAGTCACCATTAACATCATCCGTATCATCAAATTTTACCGATTTATCAAATAAAGTTATTTCACCACTTTCACTTAATGGTAAGTTAAATAACGATGTTTTTTCAAAAAAAAATTTAAATTCACAAAAAAAACTAAACAGTAAAAACATCACCGAATGGCGAAATAACTGTTATAAATGGTAAAACTGTAACATCGATTCATTATGATCATGATTTTCAACATCATCATCAACAACAACAACTATCATTACCATCATCATCATCGCATTCATTACCATTGATTGCTGCAGCATCAAATTCATCACCATCTAAAGAACAATCATCATCTTCAATTGTATTCTTTGATAATGAAGAATCAAAAAATCGATTAACTAAAATCGATTCGAATAATAATAATAATAATAAAGATTCGAAATCTACATTGAACACAACAAATTCAAGTAAGATTTTTGGTCTTTGATTTTTTCAATTTATCTTAACCAATTTTATTTCAATAATTTTTATCAAAAAAAAAACTTAAGATCATTCTTCGGCTAAAACAAGCTCAACATTACCATTTGGTGCAAAAATTCAACGTAATAATAAAAAGTTAACGCCATCAAGTGATAATAAAACAAATTTATCGTCACATTCGCCAACATTTGTTGGATCGGTAGTAAGAACTGTATCAACGGATTCAAATTCCAATCATGATGATAATGATAAATTAACAAAAATTCCAACCAAAGTGGCAACAACAACAACAACATCAACACCGAAACCCGAAACATCGACAGGAATAATTCGTGATAAATATCGTATCGATTTTCTACGACAACGTTATAATAAAGCTAAATTATTCAATTCAACATCAACGACGACAACAACAACAACAACAACAGAATCTTCTATTGAAAATGATCATCATTCATCATCACCGGCACCGGTTTATACAACAACAAAACCATTATTTCGATCATCTTCCAATCATAATAATCATGGAAAATATCAATGGAAAAATCGAAATGTCCAACAGTATCAAACTACGGAAAAAACAACATTGAAGAATGCAACCGAAATTGATCAATCATCGGATAAAAATACTGCAGATATTCAACGAATGAAACCGAAATTTATATTGAAACCATTACCAAAACATCGTCATCAACAATCAGATTTAAAATGGCGTCCATATCATCTACGAACATCAACAACAACGTCTACTACAACTTCGACAACATTAAAACCAACATCGACGACAACAACGACTGGTGCACCACCTACACCAGTTTATAAACATCAGGATCTAGAAATTCAACAATCTATTGATTCAAGAAACGCATCACCACATAAAACTACTGAATCATCCCAGAATTTACAGATACCTGAACCACCACGACCATCATCATTAGATTATTCACCATTCATGACCGATATGATGATGATGCGTAATGTGCCAACAACGCCGAAAACAACAATTACCAAAATGGTAACATCTAATTATCGACCATTTGGCCAGAATTATAATTACAATGATGATGATGATGATTTTAATGATAATGATAATGAACAAAATATGAAATGGAGTGAAATTTTTGATCAAAAATTCAATATGATTAATGAAATTTATCGAAAAAATTCTCAACAACAACAACAAAATACAATGATACCGAACACCATTGATCATTCATCACCAACATCAATACGTACAACGGCTGATCTGTTCAAATTGGCAATGATGAACATATCGCCATCAAAATCACCGGAATCGTCAATCTATAGACCACAGGAATTCACATCATCATCACCATCAACTTCGATTATAATGCCAACAACAACAACAGCACCCGAAGTGTTCGTTACAATTGAAAATAAATTCTATGTCGTACGTAATAATACTCCTGTAGTACATCATCAAATTCAGGATCTTGATCCATCACCACCGCCAACAATACCTATTGTACAAACACCCGATCAATCGCCACCACAATTATCATTTCAAAATCATAATATCCAATATCATCATCAGCCACAATGTTTGTGAAAAATTTTTGAGAAATTTTTTAAAATAACTTTTTTCTTTTTTTTACTAGATGGCGAAAAATTAACGATAAGCAATAGCTTGTCACAACAACAACAAAAACAACAATATCCAGAATATCCGGAAACATTGATGCATTTTGTACAGAAATATAATGCGATACCTGTAATTAATCAACAACAACAACAACAAAAACCAATAATTCAATCGGAGGACTTTCAATCAAATCAGAATTTACTGCCATCATATACACCGACTATAATACCATTGAATCAACAACAACAAACATCAAAATTTGAATATCCACAACCAAATAGTAATGAATTATATCAGATGGATAAATATAATCCAAGTCAATTAATGATGATGATGAATTCCGATAACACCGATACAGAAATACCGGATAATATTAATAATGATAATGATGATGATGATAATAATCCATATACATTAGTGAGACATTATATTCAAACATATCAACCGGATAAAAATGAAATTGATGGTTTTGAACAAGCAATGAATGTTATTCGTAATGATCTTAACAATAGGCATCGTCAACGTCAGCGTACTAAACCAATAACGTTTTGGCCATTATCATTAACATCACAAAAATCAACAATGATTACAACAAATAATCATAATACTGATGCAAATGATAAAATATTACCACGACCGCCGGCAAAATTATATACAATTCCTAAGAATACCTATCTAGAACATCCACAATTTGAAACAATTCAAACACCACAACAATTAACGATTGATCCATTATTAAAGACAATGGTAGAAATGATACAAGAACAAGCTGTTAATCGTTATAGTGAACCATTGAATAATAATGGTAAACAATCAATGATGATGTATGGGGGTAATAGTGATAGTAGTAGTAGTTTATCAGCATCCGAATCACAACAAACAAATCGAAGACAACGAACTAAACAATTTGTTCAGCCATCATCGATGATGATCAATGATAATGAATCAGCTACAACATCGTCATCGAAATATTATTTCGGTATTCCAAGACAGATAATGATGATGAAATCACAACAACAACAACAACGAAAGAAACCATCAATATTGAATAATAATGATAATGATCATAATATTGATTTTGGTATTGATGATCATTTTGAAATCGATATGAATGATATTCTTCGTAGACCATTGAAAACAACAACAGCAATAAGACAATATAATTTACGGCCACAACAGACAACGGATAAAAAACAGAATTCCAATCTAATGAATAGTGATACTAATCATGTAACAAATCAAGGAGCATTATCAATATTGAATGAATCACCCGAATCAATGATAAATGATCCATTTGAAGAATTCTATGATCGTGATCGAATATTATCATTGAATAATAATGCATTAATTGATTATCCATCTATTCGATGGAAATTACCACCATCACCTACTGAAGTTGCAAAGTTTGCTGCTTTGCAATATGAAAAAAGTAATAGGAAACAAATACTGCCATCATTATCATCATCATCATCATCATTATCAAATGAAAGAAATAAAACATTACAGAATGATGATAATGAGGAAAAAATGAAACCGTCTTCATCATCACATACGAATAGTATACAAAAATCGATATTGTCGGTGATTGATAAAACCACTGGACATCCATATAGACTAAGTAAATTAGGTGAATTATTATCATTGACTGGCCTTTTCAATGCAATACAGACACAAACAAAAAACGTAGCTACCGATCATCAACAAAGACAACAAACAACAACATCGGACAATAGTAATGGTAATGGTAGTAAGCAGAAAAAAATCAATAATCAATCCTTATCAACATTGAATTCGGATTCAATACAGAAATCAATACTCGATTATGTTGCACAATCATTTAATCAACAACAACTTAATCAATATCCATTGATTGATAATCGTCAATATTCAATAGCTGGACAATCATATTATCGACAACATCAGCCGAATAAAATCAAGATAAATAAGATGGATAAAAACCAATCGAATGAATTGAAACGACAATTATTGATACATAAAATGGGTGCCAAAATTTCAAATAACAACAACAATAGAGATTTATTAAGAAATCATGAAAAACTTATTCCGAATTCGTCAAATCAGATGCTAATGATGACTAAAACAAAATTGCCCGAAACAAAAGTGATTCGAAAATCTGAAAATAATAGTGAAAAACAAAAATTGGCATTCCCATTACTTACGATCGATTCGAATACGAAAAAAATTAAACGTAATCGATTAATGACTAATGTTAAATCTTTGATCAAAGTAATCAATAGATTCAAATCAAAATAATAATCAACAACCATATCGTACACAAAAATATTGACATTTTTTTTTGATAATTTCATATTTTAATTCATTGAATTTTTCCAATTTTGAACTGTGAAAAAAAATTATTTAAATGATAAACAAAATCATACATTTTTTTAAAAAACAAAGACTATCGCAATTAGAAAAAAAAGAAACGTTTTGGATTTTTCTTGGCCGCTGCTTGTGATTTTGTAATCATCACTTTACGTGTGGTCAGATTATAAATCGGTCCAAATGCAATGGATAATGCTGTTGATACAAGACATATAACATTATAGGGCATGCTAAAATCTGGGGTTGGCATCATTATAATCAATGGTTCAGTATATAAACGTAGGGGATAATTTTTCTGTAGATTAGCTATTGTACTAGTAGAAAATGAATTATTTTTGAAATATGATTCAAATATTCGAGGTAAAAATCGTTCATAAGTATATCCAGGATCGGAAGATTGATGATTATCATCGAACAAGAATGTAACCGTTGCTGGATTTATATAAAGACCATGATTTGGATCAGGTGGAAATTCAGTCCAACGTAAAAATTGATGATCAAATTCAAAACGTATTTCGATCAATGAATTTGGCGGCAGATGAAGTTTTACTTCAAGTTGATGTGGCCGTATACGATCTTGTGCTGGTTCATAGTGTAATTTTGTTGGTTGAATTTCTTTGCTTATTGTAGATTTCATTGATGTTGATGATTCCAGTGGTCGTGATTCAATACGCAGTGTATGCAAATACATTCTTAAATACCATGGTATTGTATCAGCATAAATAGCATCGATACCAAATGGAAAACGATTGGTAAGCAAAACTGTTATACCACCGGTTTGAACACCAACACCACGCGAAAATCTTCGAACTTGTACATGTTGATAATCAATCGGATAGTTTAATTTTCCATTATATGATGCGGGATATTGTATTCCAATGTTCAGACCATTTTTCGGCTTCGATTCCGATGATTTTAAAATCGATTTTAGATCATATTCCACAAATAAACGTTGTTGTTGTTCGTTTATCATTACAGGTGATTGTCCAAGGACAATCGATCCATATTGATCAGAATTAATGCTTATAAATCGAGATGGCTCAATAAGAAGTTGTCCATTGGATGATGGATTACGATTCAATGGTGTAATATCAACATAAATTCGACTTGAACTTGCAAGTGGACAATGACTATCTAATGAGGAACCAAACAATGAATTCAATGTCCAACTATATTTACCATCCAATACTAATGGTCCAGTAAATACAATAAGAATATTTTGCTTGAGTTCAATACCGGTGGTTGATGAACAACGGTTGATATCGGTACAGGAAAATTCGAAATCCACTGATTGTGAATAAAATTGTGTATCAAAAATATTTGTTGCATGAAGCAACGAAGCAAGACCTTTGTTTCGTTGACATGGAAGCATTTTAGTGAATGGTGTTAGATTTTCCGTACAGATCGGTTCCTGTGGTAATGATGCCATATAACCATAATCGTGTTCAATGTTTTTATCTTCAATTGGTTTCAATTTCAAAAATGGACGATATGAAATCTTTGGCCGTATGGTAACAGTCGGGTTGATTAGATTGATCGAGGCACAGAATTGTCCAGAAAGTAGACTAGTCAATTTATTCCAATTATTTTTCGAATTAAGATAAGTAGAAAACCATGCCCAAAGATGAGCATTTGGTGATGTATCACGTGCAGGTAATCCCCAACGATCATATTTCCAATAACCTTTTGTCAAACTGAAATGCAATTCCTGAATTTCAAGCTGATGAAATAATCGTAATAAAGATAATGGAAATATATCATTATGTTTGCCAGCATCCACTAAGACAAAATAAAATAAGAGATATTAAAAATGGATTGGATAAATTTAAAAATTTACCACCAAAAGGATATGAAAGATTAGCGTTGATAAAGGTTTTAAATTCAAAATGGGCAGAAATTTGACCATCATTCAGTGATCGTATGATGAGCTGTTCATCAAAATGTTCATCATCAATGCCATGATTGGCTGAGATCGCAGTTATCAATAATAAAAGATTGATCAAATGGGAGATTATCATTTTTCCAATGTGAAAAGATATTCGAATTTGGCAATTGTTCGATCAACAAACACCAAAAAAAAAACACCGGCTGACTCGGGTGTATACCATTGTTTATGAATGGTAATAGCACGTGTTGTTTTCAATAATTTTGTTTTATTTGAAAGAAAAGATGTTCAAACGACAAGTTTTATTTGTTTTAAATCAAAATTTGATACGTTATTCTTCATTATCACAATCAACAGTGACATCATCATTGAATTCGGCAACCAATAGATATGATAATGATGATGGACACCAGCACAAATCAATCAATAAACGATTATCATCATCATCCAAACATTTATATCGAAATCTATTCGATTGGAATAGTCAAATTGATCTGGCTAAATTATTAGCGAAAAATATCGTTTACAATGATTATGGTTTGATAGCCATTTCTAAACCATGGGGATTAGGTATACATAAACCTGCTGATAATGTAATTTATTTGAAAAATCCTTCAAACGCTGAACAAATATTAAATAATCAAATTTTTGGCCAACCAAAATACTCTATTGCCGATGTTATTGATTTATTTGGACAACTAATGCATCTTAATCATCCATTGCATATTGTTAAAGGTTAAAACAATTATTTTCTAATCTTTATCGATTTGACATTCAATTATACATTATTATACAGCACCCGATCGTCGTTGGTCTGGACTTGTATTATTTTCCGAAGAAAAAACGATGGAGAACCATATCCTGAAAGCAATACGTCGCGCAAAAGCACAGCGAACGCCACCAATGCGTTTCTATTGCGTTGTGAATGGTCTAATCCCGAGCGTAGAGATTGGCCGCTGGTATGAAGAGCGTTGTGGGATACGTTTAACTGAAATCGATGAATTAGGTCAATCAAAAGAGCCGATCTATGTTTCACCGAATGATATGAGTCATAATATTCGTAAAAAAGGTGCTCATCGTGATAATAAATATCAACTTGGTCCAGTGAAATCTGCTTCAATCAAATATCGTGTATTGGCACAGAATCCAGATCTGGCCGTATCCTTAATCGATCTACATACGACAATAACAAAATGGTCCGCAATACAATGTTTTCTTGCATATAAAACATCATTCATATTGGGTGATACCTTTTTTTCCTATCGTGTCAAACATATATTTGGTCAGCATATCACAATGTCAACATTGAAACAAAAAAATCTACAGAATTGGCGTCATATTGATCAATCATTTGAACCATTATCACGAAAAGTTTGTCAGAAATTAGGCGTCCGTAGTAATCGTGAAATACCTTTAATGATACATCATTATGGCCTATTATTTCCAAAATTATTGCGAACATTACGTCCATTAAAACGACAATCCAATCATGAATCATTAAATGATCAAACTAATCAAAATCTAATCAAACTTGATGATAATGATGATCTAATCATCGAAACAAATTTCAATCATTTACCCAAACATTTTTATCGTACACTTGATCGTTTAAATTTGAATATTTTTTCATAATAAATTGTAATTTTTCTTTTAAAAAAATCAAATCATTTAATGCATCATTATTAAGGTATCTCATCAAATGGTCATGCTTATAAAATATTTTAACAAAAATTTGATGGAAATGGAATATAGGGAGAAAAATCTTATATCATTGATGTTACACAACAATTTTCTTAATCTCTCTTATCTCTAGTTGCGCAATGTGTGTGTGGTTGTTATGTGTGAAAATCATTAAATGAATGGAGAAAAAATTTAAAGTGAATTATGTAATTGTGGGAAAAATGCAAAAAAACAAACAAATTAAATTGAATTATTCATTTTAAATTGATTGATTGATTGAATGATTGATGTTTTTTTCCTGGTTCATTAATTACGTAATGAAAGAGAAAGAGAGAAAAAGAGACAAGAGAGATCGCTTTTATTATTTAATTTCCGAATGTTTTTCGTTTTGTTCTGTTGTTGTTCTATGGATGTTCTATTAGTATTTTCGATTGAAATAAAATTCATTAAACATCTTGTGAATGTATCATTGTTTCATTTGGATCAGCCAATATAAGAAATGCAGCATGTCCATGGCCACCAGTATTACCACCACTGGAAGTAGTAGTAGTCATCATTTGTGGCATAACATTTGTTGCATGTAAATGATGATGATGTTGAAGAGTGGATTCCATATGTGTTGGCTGTTGTGATTCAATTTGTTCGGAATAAAAATATGGAGATGGACCCGATGATGATGATGATGCTGGTGAAGGTCCAGATGTGAAAAAATGTTGTTGTTGTTGTTGATGATGCGGAATTGGTTCGGATGATGGTTCCATCATTCCAATATCATTATCATCACTATTTGATTGTCCATCAACCATCAACGATGAAGGTCGTGTAGCAGCAGCTAATATGATATGAGTCATCGATGATTGTGGATGTGGCTGTGGTTGTTGTTGTTGTTGCTGCTGCTGTTGATATTGTTGTTGATAATCACGCCATTGTTGTAAGCGGCTATCAGCATATTGTACCATGGGCATTGATATATGGCTAATGATTGGATGGCTTTGATCTTCTTCGGATTGATAATCCTGTGGTTGTTCAAAACGACGTTGATTATTAGTTATTAATAATGGTTGCTGTTGTTGCTGCTGTGATGGTGCCGGTACTGAAGATGATAATAACGATGCTGGTCCTTTTGGTCGAAGCAAGATTCGAACAACAGCATGATTCACAGCAACTGTACCCGGTGATGACGGTTGTTGTTGGTCAACAACATCTATCGATGGTTCAGATGATGATACATGAAATAATGGTTGTTGTTGTTGTTGAGAATAGGCATTTTCATTGACAGCATTAGTCATTATCATAGCCATACCACGACCATTTGATGATTGTTCACCATTATTACCGGTCATTTTCATTTGTTCATTATTATTACCATTATAATATACGATTGCCATTGGTGATTGACTTGATGGTGATCGATGAATGATTGCTGGTTTAATTGGAGCCATCATTGAAGGCGATCGAATCGTTAATGCTCGTACACGTACCGGAACATAGACCGGCACGGGAACTTCAACAACATGTGGCCGTGTTTGTTGCATTGGCGATGGTGGCGGTAGTGGTGGCTGAGATGGACTATATTGATACAATATTGGTGAAGATGGTGGCGATAATGGTTGATAATAAGCAAAATTTTGTTGTGGTGGTTGATTTGCCGATGATGATGATGGCGATTGAGGAAACCTGTTGTGTGTATTTAAATCGTATTATTTTAATTATGAATTCAATGATAACTTACATGATCGATGGTGATGGTGATTCTTCACGTGATGCTTCATTAGGCATCGATCGATGTGTTATCAATAGAATTAAACGTTGTGGTTGTTCGGCGGTAGCAGCCGGCATCATCGGTTGAGGTTCGACAATTTGACGACGATAGCTAGGTTGATTGGAACGTGTTTGTGCAGCGATTGCCTGAATAATAGCTGCTAATGGATTTGGCATAGATGCTGTTGATGATTGTTGTTGTTGTTGTTGTGATGATGATGATGGGTAATAACGTGGACCCATCATCATTAATGGTGGTGGTGGTAATGATGTTGACATCGATAATGCTGATGGTGGCGATGGTCGACCATACATAATTGTCGTACGAATTGTTTGATCCGAATCGCTATCATCTTGAATAGAATTTGATGATCGTGATTTTTGTCCCAACAAAATTGGTACCGAAATTGTTTCAGTTGTACGATCATCACCATCCATATCATCATCATCATCATCGTCACCGTCAAGATCAATTTCATGATGATTATTGCTATTATCCATATCGGCTGATCCTGTTGCCATTTTCGGTATGGTTCCCATCATTATCATTTTAGGTGATGGTGTCATTGCTACGAGGAAAAAAGGGTTAAAAAAACATTGTTTTTATATTTTTGTCTTAATGATACCTTGAGATCGAAGTGCCGAGAATAATTTCGACATCATTGTCAATGCAGCCATACGTATCAATTGATTTGCCTGTGATGAACTTGGATCATTTCCATTATTCATTGATGATGATGATGATGTGAAACCATTCAATGGACTGCCACCAATTGATGATTGATGATAGAAAAATTTAACACCTGGTGTTGATCCATCATCATCTGTTGATGTTTGTTGATCAATTTTACTTGGTTTTTCATTAGTGATCAATAAATTATCACTACCATTCTCTGATGGAATATCAGTTGTTGTTGATGGGCCAACATTATCAACAACATTCGAAGCACGTAATACAACTGAATACGTATTCTGTAATGGATAAGTAAATTTACGGAGACGATTTTCCCATTTCAAACGAATATTATCAAAAGTATTGCTATTGTTTTTTTCATTTGAAAAAACGCTTTTATGAGAAAATTTTTTTAAATTTATAAAAAAAATTACCTCCAAGGTGAATCTAGATCATGATCAGAATCATCAGCCGTTTTATTTGAATCTGAATCCAATGTTGATGAATCACGAATATCAAAAAATGATGAAAGGCCACCAGATGATGATGATGATGATGGTGAACGTGATGGTGGTGGTGGTGGTGGTGGTGGTTGTTGAAAATTCAAATCCATTAAACGTTCAATAAAGATTAATTTTGGATTAATATTACCAATAGTGGAACGATCTTGATCAACAGAATCCGATTGATCACTATCTATTGAATCCTCTTTATTATTATTATTATTATTATTTAAAACAATTATTGATGGTGATAATTGATCATCGTTATCATTATCATTATCATCTTTATCTTTACCATTTGATTCATTAATTTTATTATCATCATTTAAATTTTTCATTGCAGTTGTCGATGTAGTTGTCGTCGATGATGATGATGATTGGCCATCATCATTAAAACGTTTTGATTGATTATTATTATTATTCAAACTTGATGTATAAGTAGCAACAGTTTCAGTTGTTGTTGTCGCTGATGATGATGATAATGATTGATCATTATTTTTAGCAGATAATCCAACAACATTACCATTCAATAAATCCGGTAATGATGCTAATTGTTGCTGTAAACGTTGTTGCGTTGTTTCACTTTCTTCCAATGGAAATGCAATACCATATTCATGTTTCTAAAATTTCATTGATCGATCAATAAATTAAGAATTGAAAATGTTTTTTGTTTTGTTTTGTTTTATTAATACTAACCGTTTCATCTTTGTTCATTTGTGAAATGACCAATGTGAATAATGTCACTGAATAACAAAAAAAAAACATATTATCCCTCTTGAGTAATCATAAAACACAGCAATTAACACTTACCTAGGACAATCAATACGGTAATCAAACTTAGAAATTTCATTGTACGCATCGAAATAGTTTCACTTGCTCTGTTGATATATATTTTTGAAAGACAAAAAAAAATATTTTTTTTAACGATATGAATTAAAATGGACAACATGAAAAAATTCATAAGATTGGAAAAAAACTGCGACCAAATCTATTTATCATCATCATCATCATCATCATCATTATTTTCGAGTTTAATAATAATAAACTCTTTCGGTTTTTTTCTCTTTTATTAAATCTGGCTAAAATTGGCCAGTTTTTTTTAATTTTATTATTATTAATTCATTTCAATTTCATCTTTATAATCATGAATATAAACATTATATATGTTTTTTTTAAAGAAATTCAGATTGATTCAGGTCGAATGGTAGTTGAAAGAAAAATTGATGTAATAAAAAGAGATGATGATGATGATGATGAGAAGAGAAAATCGGATTCAAAAAAAGCAATCGAATGAACCAAGTTTCATTTGCTGTATGTTTTCTTTTCTTTTTTCATTTCATTTCATTTCATTTCAAAATGTATTTTTAGGTTTTTCTTTTGATTGATTCGGTTATTTATTACTTTTTTTTTCATCGATTTGTTATTGGCATCATTATCATCATCATCATCATCATTATCGAAATTTAATTTTGATAGATTCCGTTTTTTTTTGTTGTTGTTGATTTCTATAGTTAATCGAAATAATGAATTGAATTCGATTCAAAATACAAGAGAAAAAAACAAATGATTCTTAGTCTAGGATTCCTGGGTCTGGTTTTATATACGATCCATTTGTTTTTCCAACCAACATTATGATAAAACCAGAAAAAACTGGATCCGTTTGGTCAACAGAAAAACCAAAAACAAAAAATCAAAATCAGCAATAGTTATCTAGCTAGATAAATAGAATTCTAGATTTTGATTGATCCGATATGTTTATTTTTCTATTGTAAAATTCATTTTTTTTAGTGCAATCATTATGTCATACACATTTTCTATATCAAGAATAACATTTGATTGAATCATGTATACATACAAACACATCAAACACACTGAACTTTTTATTCAAAATGTCAATCACCTTTATTTGAAAAAGGTATGCCTGACTGTTTCTGTTTCGAATGTGCGAACACAGAGAAAATTTTTTGGGGAAAATTTTTCTGCTGTTTGAAATTTTCCCGAACACTTTTCCCCTCTTTTTTTTCATTCATTCATTCATTCATTCAATGATTGTCACATCATATTTTCATCAATTTTTTTTTCGTTGAAAATTTCAAGTTTCTACCTGATATATAAATCATTCGTAATTCATTTCGTTTTGACCAAATAAACGAAATGAAACGAAACGAAACAAAAAAAAAATGCCACACACAAATCATTTTGAATGAATACAATAGGGATGCACGAGAGACAACGAATATTGTTTGCTTGCTTGCTTTATCACTATAAAAATGAAATGTTGTTTTGGCCCAAATCGTGTGTCCAAATTGTTCCATTGTTCAATGTTTTTTCTGTTGTTGTTGTTGTTCGCCATTCATTTTTTTGATTTAAAAAAAATTTCCATCATGATGATGATAATAACCTGTGTGTGTGTGTGTGTGTGCGATTGTTGGTGGAATAAGGTTTTTCAGTTTTCTTTCATCATTTCAAACAAACGTAAAAAAAACTAAACAATCGATTTTGATCGAAAAAAATAAAACGAAAAGATATTTACAATCGATATTTTTTTTACCGCACTGTTTTTCGATATTTTTTTTTCCTGAACACTCTTTTTTTTTCCTCATTATCATCATCCATCTGATGATGATAATGATGATCAGGATCAATATTGACAAAAAAGAAAAAACATATATTCACTTCCTTGACCAAAAAGTCGATAAAAAATAGTTTTCAGGATTCAATTCCATCAGGTAATAAAAATGGAAAATATCAATCAATAATAATGATGATCGATAGCAAATAAATGAATAATGGTCATCTTTGGGGTTAAAAAAAATATAACACACCTTTATCCACCCACATCGACAGACAATATCATAATAATGTTGGCAGCATTTAGTAACATTTTTTTGTTTGTTTTTTTTGTTTGAATTGTAAATTATTTTTCATTTCTCTTTTTGGATTATATATTAATGATTGTAATTATCATCATCATCATTATCATTAAAATGAAAGAGTTAAAAAAAATTCACTACTTTGAAGGATAGAATTTGTATTTAAAAAGAAAGAAAAGAGTTGAGATATACAGAGAGAAATTAATTGCTATGCTGATAATTATCATCATCATCATCATCATCACCATATATGATAAGTCGGGTAATTATCCGCAACAACAACAAAAGTCTTCGTGAGTGTATAACGAACAAGCAAAAGTCCAAAACTTTGTTTAAAAAAAAAAATAAAATAAAATTATCGGTCAAACAAAAATTTTGTGTGGCCAATTATCGAATCAATTTAATCAGTTTGTCCACACCATACACGCACACACATTGATAATGATTAAAACATGATCTATTTCAACAAATATGACAATCTTAATGTCATTAATTTCTATCTATCAAACAAAAAAAAGGACATGCATGAAACAAGACAAAATGTTTTTGTTTTTGTTTTTAGAAAATAAATGAAATAAATTCAATTCATTCTGAATATATCAATTTAGGTGTGTATGTCGGTAATGTGTCATTTATAGATAGATGTATGCATGCAATTTATATATATATTTTTTTCTTCAAATGATGATGATTCTATTTTAACCCAACCGACCGAGAAAGAAAAAAAGAAAAACAACAAACGACAACAACATCTAAGCAATCCACATTTGAACAACAACAACAACAACACTAAGTTAGTTGATCCGTAAATTTGTCCCGAATGAATGAATGAATGGTTAAAAAAAATTACCGTAATGGTCCGTCTATTTTGGGGTGATCAACGAACACAACTGATGATGATAGATGATGGATATAACAGAAGAAAAAAAACAGTAACACAACCTGATGAATCAGAAGAAATCTAGGTCAAACATTTTGACCGAATATAACCGAACGACAACGATGATGACATATAATTGTGAAAAAAAAAGATTTTCAAGAAAACTGGTTTTCTCCTTCTTTATTTCATTTATCTTTTTTTTGGTTTTGTATGGGTACACTAACTCTTTTTGATGATGATAATGATGAAAGAGAAAGGTTTTTTACTTGGCTAAGACTGCTAAAAAACCTCAGGATATTTCATCATCGTGATGATGAAATATTTAAATTTATTTTTTCCATTTTCATTTTGATTTATTGCTTCAAAAAAAAACTTAAAGCTTAAAAAAGACATTTCAAACTCTTTTACATTATCATTTTTATCATTTTCATCAGAAAAAAAAAGATTCGTAACCTTTAAAATCATAATTATTATCGTGATTAAATTGGAAAAAAAATCTTGTTGACAACAACAAGAAAATAATAGATTTTCACTAAATCAAATAAGCCAATACAGGTGAATCAAGACAATTATAATTCGGTTTCTCTTCATTGATTTGTCATTGAACAAAAAAAAAATAAATATTCATTTGAATTTCAATTCGATTGAATAATCAATCAAATTGATTGAATAATAATAAAACGATGCAAATGAACAATGAAAAATATTGTTTGTTCATATGTTTAACAATTGAACAAAAAAAAAACTTACTGAATCAATTTCTGTAGGATCTGTTTGAGATCGGCTTTCAAAGCACTATCTTCACTGCCACCACCGCAACCACCGTTAGCAACAAATGCAAGATTTTCGGCTGCAACCTTTTCTGCTTCCGCTTGTTTTAATGCGATCGGATCGATCGTATAGATTTTTTTATTATTTGTAGATGTTGATTTTGTTACCAGATTTTTAGTTATTATTTTATTACCACCTTTATCACAACCACCGGACGTAACAATAATAACGTTTGATGATGGTACTACGGATGAAAATGGTGGCGGTGGTGTGCCAGGTGATGACAACGGAGGTGTTGGTGGTGGTAATGGTGGTGATGGTGATGGTGTCAACTTGACCGCCGTTGTTGTTGTTGTTATCGTTGTTTTAGTTGTTGATGATGATGAAGAAGATGATGATGATGATGATTTTTTATGATGATTACCGGAATCCACAATTGCTGCCAGCGTGAATAATTGTGAAAAAGGCTTTTAAGGGCCACAAAATTTTGAAAGCTTCAAAAAAAACGGAAAAAATAACCGAAAATCGAATCGAACTGAAAAATCGATCTGAAATTGAACAGAAGAATCTCGAGTTTTTTCTGTTCGAAAAAAAAGGAAAAAGAAAGATGAAATTATTATTATTACTTTTGATTGAAAACACACATAAAGAGTACTAAAACGAATTGATCCTGAATCCGGTTATTGTCATCATCATTATCTTTATAAAATTAACTAAATTGAAAAAAACAACATGTGAAGAGAAAACTAACATAATCATCAATAGGATATGATTTAAAAAAGAAAGAAAGAAAAGAGTTAACACACATAAAACATCATCTCTTTCGTTTTGTTTGTAAAAACAGGTAGATTTTCTCTTTGAATTGAATTATACTAAAGAAAAAAAAAATAGTGAATCAATTTTCATTTACCGATGTAACGAACAAAATAAAAATCGATCAAATGAAAAATAGAAATATGGAATTCTATATATAAAATACGCCCAATGTAGGTGTGGTATGATGGGTATGATATGTATGATGTGCATAAATTATGTCGAGATTTTTCATTTTTTTTCTAGCTGACTGAATGACTAATTTAATAAATAAAAAAATTATAATCTTGACATAATGGCAGCAAAACATTCACATACCATTCAAATAATTATATTTGGGCGTCATCAATAAACAAATTACCAAAAAAAAAAAATATGAAAAAAGGGTAGAAAAAGAGAGTAGATTGAAAAAAATCTACTAATTAAATTAAACCAATGATCATTTGCTTATTAAGTGCAACATTTCTATATGGAAAAAACAAGGAAGCCAATTTGGAAAAATAATTGGATGAATAAATTAAAATGATGCTTACAAAATGATGATGACAAACAGATTTTTTTTTCAACAATCAAAAAAAATTGAAAAAAACTCATACAAACAAACACAACAAGCCTGAAGAATTGAATCAAATTAAAGATGATATTATCACTCGGGTTTTGTTTTTCAAACCAAACAAAAAAAACAAACTAAATTAATCACAGAACAAATTCGTCGATGTGTTGATGATGATGATTTTAAATAATTTTTATTTTTTATAAATCACATTCACACAAAACACTTTGAAAACAACAACAACAACAAGAAGATTATAACAAACAAGAATATAGAATCAATCGATTCTTATTTTAATAAACATAAACAGAAGTAAAAACTTTTTCTAGAAAAAAAAAATTTAAAAAAATATTTTGTTGAAAACAAAAATTAAAAACAAGCGGCATTCATCATTTAATGATGGCAATCGACTTTTATATCAACTATAGTCTCTCTTATTTTTTTTTACCAATTTTAAAATATCTTCTCTTCATTCCCTGAATGAATAATAAATGCCATCATCTTTTTTTACTTATATTCAACAGGCGAAAAAAAAATGAAACTCTCTTTTCATTTCAAAAATGACGCCCACCAAAGCCTGTTTTCTCATCATCATCATCCACCACCAAATTGACAATTGTTCTCTTTTTATTTTCGGTAATTCTTTCTTTCTTTTTTTGTTGTTGTTGTTTGCTATCGTTCAACCATGTTCGATATTATTGTTCAACGTTATTATTATTGCATGATTGACTGAACTCCGTGTAGCATAATAGTTGTTGTTGTTGTTGTTTTTCAATAGAAACAACAACAACAACAACAACAACAACAAAATTTTCCATTCATGCATGCAGCAAATAGAATTGAATTGTTTAATAAACACATATATTTAAAGGATAAGGGGATATATAAAGAAATTATCAAACTCCCATATAGACATTTTGGACATACACACACAATAATCAAATCGAATGAATAGAATTACAAAAGGATCAACAATAGTTACAGACAACAGCAACAAAAGTTTCAACGAAGAGTGTGAAAGAAAAAGATCCAAAACGGTATTTATAATTATGATTACGTAATATAATACAGGGTGTCAAAGAAATAGTGAGGATAAATTGATAAACAATATCACACACACACACACATAGCATAGTAACATAGCGGCTGATTGAAATTTTATTCTTTCAATGTTCCAATCAATCGATTCACACACAAACACACACACACACACAATTTGAATTGATAATGTTTTGTTTGTTGTGTTTTCATTTTGATTATTGATTTGATTTGGTCACGCAACAAGTGTCGTTGTTGTTGTTGTTCGTCTTTTTTTCTTCCTTTTGTTTCGAGATGATGATGATGATGATGATTGTCGATCGCGATCACACACCTGACAAAACAACAACAAGTGATAAGAAAATGAAAACTTGGGCGAATCTGAGAAAAAAAAACATAATACCATGGCAAGGTGGTGGATGGCACCGAAAATAGTTTTCGGTTTCGGTTGTTTTTTTTATATTTTGTATTGTTCACAGTTTTGGTCACAATCACTTTTTTGCGTTCGTTCGTTTGTCAAAGTTTGATTGATATCATTTTCGGTTTCGGTTCAATTCCAAAAACAAGAAAATAAAAATGTTTTTTCTCAGGTTTTTTTTTTGTTTTTGTTTTTGTTTCAGAAAAAAAACCATTCATCAGTTTTTTGGAACAAAATTAGCTTTTTCCGTATCAAAAAAAAAGAAGAAATTTTGTTTTCTATTAGAAAAATCAATCAAAAACCAAAAAAAAAAACAGTAAAGTAAAATTGAATAATGATCCAGATTGATCCAAAATTAGAAAACTGTTTCTTTTTTTGAATGAAAACAACAACAACAACAACAAAAAGCGAGAAAATAAAAATTTGAATTTCAAAACAAAAACTTCAATGAAAAAAGAAAAAACAAAATCAATCCAATTTCCATATTGAAATATCATTCAACTAACTATATATATTTTATATTTTGAATATAAATAAACAAATGACCATCAAAATGAAGGCCACAAAAAGGTAGAGAAGAAGAAAAAAAAAATCACACAATGTGTGATATCAATCAATATTTTGCTTTAAATTTTTTTCCAAAATGGTGGTGGTGGTGGTGGTGGTGATGGTCAATAAATTTTATTCACACAAGAAAAAAGAAAAAGAAACAATGATGATTTGAAAATTGAATTTTCCTGAAATGAAATAAAAACTTTCCAAAAACAAAGGCAACCCAATGAATCATTATTTTTTTTGAAAAAAAAAATATATTTAAATTCATTCATTCAACAAGTCCTGATGTGCTGTATGGATGCGTTGTTGTTGTTGTTGTTGCTCGGATGAATGATTATTTAGCGCCCAAAAACAATCAGTTTGTTTTGTCTGTTGCTAAAAATGATGGCAAAAATAGAAATTTTTGAAATTAGCTTGAAAAAAAATGAAGAGAACTAGATGAAAATAGGAAATAAATGAAATGGATGGTCGGTCGGTCGGTCGGTCGCAATCTATTTTGCTTTGTTTTTTTTTTTGCTTACCAAAAACGATGATGCTTAAAAAAATGAAAATCAGATTTTAAAT